TTTTTTTTTTTTTTTTTTTTTTTCTAGGGTGGGGTGGGGTGGGGCAGGGAGACAGGATTTCACTGTAGAGCAAGCTGGTCTTTCAGCAGTCTGGTCTTTCAGCAGACCTTTCAGCAGTCTGCCAACCTCAGCCTCCTGTGGGCTGGGATTACAGGTGTGAGTCACCATATCCAGCTGGTGAATAACAGCTACCTCAGCATTCTTACAAGGTTTAAATGAGATAATGTCTAGGCACACTGCAGTCCTGGTAAGCTGTGGAGACTGAGTAGGAGTGCCAAAGACACCAGGCACAGAGGCTTATCCTGCCTGGAACCTCTGTTGTCTAGCAGATGTGTTTGGAATTTCAGAGATAAGAATTGTAATGGAACAGGCTGAGGGTGTAGCTCAGTGGTAGAAGGTGTGCTCAGCAGGTGCAAGGCCCTGAGTTCTAATCTGCAGTGCCAAAAAGCAACAAAGTACATATTTTCCCACATTAAGTAGTGTCTCCAGCAAGGTCTGGGTCACCACTGCATAGTCACATGCACTTAATACTTATGAATAGGAACATAGGGAAAGCTAGGCATGGTGGCACTTGTCTGTAATTGCAGTACTTGAGAGGCTGAAGCAGGAGGATTGCAGTGCATTAACAGCCAGCCTGAACAACATCAAAAAGCTCTAAAAACCAAGTAAGGAGGTGTGTAGAAGCCATGAAAAGCTTCCAAACTAGACATGATGGCTCACTCAGGAAGCTGAGGCATGAGGATAGAGTTTATGGTTTCTTGGCTAAGATCAAGTATAGAGTTTAAGGCCACCTTGGCCTGTATAGGGAGAGACCCTGTCTTGGAAAACAAGAAGAAATGAGCTGGAGAGATGGCTCAGCCATTAAGAGCACTAGCTTCTCTTGCAGAGGACCTGGGTTTGGTTCCCAACACCCATGTGGTAGCCAACAACCATCTGAAATCCAGTTCCAGGGGCTCCAACACCCTCATTTGGCCTCTGCAGGTATTCTCAACATGGGTGTACTTACATGCGTGCATGCATGCAGATAAAACACAAAAAAAGGAAAGAAGAAAACCTAAGCTGACATTCAAGGAGTACCCGCCTAGAACATTCTTGCTTATTCCTCCTTCCCTCACTGTCTTCACACTGACCAAAAAATATGGCATTGGAATTTCCGCAAGAAACCATCCCTCTCATGAAGAATCTAGGCTGTTTAGAGAAGCCAAATCGTGGCCGTTGTCCACTTAAGTTCTCCAAGGAAATGTGCAAGACCTTTCCAAGCTGTGCATAACGGCACGCACCCGTAGTCTCAGCAGAGGCAGGAGGATTATTGCATGGTGAGTTCCAGGCCAGCCTGGGTTACATAGTTAAACTCTGTCTCAAAAAGCCAAATCGTTCTTGGCCTTTATCTGATTGTGTGTTTATTTCAGTACATAACTGATAAAACTTGCAGTAGATGATTTTCATTCTCTGGTTCTTGTAATACAGTTGACCTGTTGATGCTTCTGAGTGCCGAGAGACTGAGGAAATGGGTGACGGAAGTGGGGGGTGGCTAGAGGCAGCCAGTAGACAGGCAGTTAGGGATGTGTTGCCTTTCATCCTCTCTGGCTGTCAACAGCATGCAGTCTCCACCTCACCAATAGGCTACCTGTTGATTCGTAAGCTGAGATGAGTGATCCCACTTTGCTGGGGAGGGCTGGCTATAGAATTCAAGAGCGTCCTGAAACAACATGAAACTGCTCAGCAGTCACTTGGCATTGTCGATGTGAGCCCTGAAGTTCTCGCTGAGGTGTCTGAATTAATGCCAAGCCTATTGGCATGTTGTGCGTGTCACACACCTAGGCAGCCTTGTGCTCAGGAAGTGGTGCAATATGCCACTTGTAAGTGCTTCATCAAACCTATAATTTCCTGTGTTTTCTGTAGAGCTGGTGGAGTTGAAATCTATAATGGGGATCGCAAGATAAAGGTTTCCAACACCCTGGAAAGCCGACTGGACCTCATAGCCCAGCAGGTGAGTGCAGGAGACCTTTTGTTACCTGTTGGCTAATTTATTTATTTACTTACTTATTTTTTGATACAGGGTTTCACTGTATAGCCCTAGTTTGTCTGAAATTTGCTGTTGTAGACCTGGCTGGCTTCGAACTCAGAGATCTGCCTCTGCCTGAGTGCTGAGATTAAAGGTGTGTACCACCATGCCAGGCTGATTCCATGGTTGTTTTTTTTTTTTTTTTGACATTTCCTTCCAAAGAGTGAGAATTAAGCATGTAAGCAGCACTCAGTAAGATGAGAACATTTCAGTGAGGAGGGACTGTGGTTGGACCCAGGCTTTTGTTTATTGAGGCTCTCATGCATATCTTTCTTTTTTTTAATTATTATTCTTTAACCTTTATGTGAATGAGTATATTGCTTGCATTTGCAAGTGCACCCATGTTATACAGTGCCCGTGGAGTTTAGAAGGTGGCCTCGGATTCCCCTGGAACTGGAGTTATGGACGGTTGTTAGCCGCCATGTGGGTTCTGGAAGTCCTCTGCAAGAGCAGTCAGTGCTCTTAACTGTCAAGCCATCCCTCCAGCCCATAATGCATGTCTCTTAACAGTATGCAGATGACAGCTGAAGTTTGCTCTCTAGGAATGATGATAGCTAAAGTAAATACTAGTTTAAGGCTGCTGCTTTTAGAGATCCGCACATTGGACTCTACAAAAAGCTTGGAAAATTCCACTTGTTATAAAAAAAAAGTATAGTATACTGTTTTTTGGGTTTCTTTTGGGGGGGGGTTGTTTTTGGTTTTTGGTCTTTTTTTGTTGTTGGTTTTTAATTTTTATGTGTATGAGTGTTTGTCTGCATATATGTTAAGTGCACCCATGCGTGTAGTGCCCATTGAGGCCAGGAGAAGGCATTGGATCCCTTGGAACTGGAGTTGGGTGTTAGCTGCCATGTTGATGGTGCTGGGAACCAAACCCAGGTCCTCTGCAAGAGCAGCCAGTGCGCTGAACCACTGAACCATCCAGCCCCAGAGTGTGGTAGGTCAAAATGCAAATATTTATCTTAGGGTCAGAGCACTGCTCTGTGTGTCATTTGCTGGTAACTCTAGAGTCACATTGGCCTACTCTGGTAGCCATTAACTACAGGTTGTTCAATGAAAGTGAAAACTTCAGGCCTGGGTTGGGGAGATAGCTTAGTCAGTAAAGCCTTATAAGCAGGAAGACTTGAGTTCAAATCTAGAACTCACGTAAAAAGCCCTTTATGGTGGCGTGCTTTTAATCCCAGCTCTGGAGAAGCAGAGACAGGAATTCCTGGGGTTCACTGGCCATACAGCCTAACTGAATCAGTGAACCCCAGACAAGTGAGAGTTCCTATGTCATAAAAGATGGGTGGCTCCTGAGGAACACCACCTGAAGTTGCCTTCCAGCTTCTACAGTATGTGGGGACAGATGGACACACACACACACACACACACAAATGCAACTTTAGACCAGGATTAGGGGTTCAGGACAGCCTGGGCTACAAGTTAAACCCTGAGTTTCATCTCTAGCACCACAAAAAACACAACAAAACAAAAAACCCTTTGAGTTCTTTGGTCTCATAGCACACTTCCAGTACATAAAACCAACATGAGTAGTGTGGCTGCCATAACAGGTGTCAGTGCCTTAAAAACTGAAAGAATGTAGGTGACCCATATGGTGAGGTTTTGTGTTACAGTTTGTGGATTTTTGTTTCTGTTTGTTTGTTTGAGACAAGGTTTCCCTGTGGCCCCAGCTTTCCTGGGAACTCCCTATGTAGACCAGGCTTTTTAGTGTGTGCCATTGTGCCGAGCCTACTAAGTTTCTCTGGCACACAGCACAGCAAATAAGGACAGACATGATATGCTTAGCTTTGTGATTTCCTATAGACACTCAGTGACTGTCTATAGGCAGTCTGGTTCCAGGCAAATTCCTAATTGAGGTCCTTATTATTTCTCCTCAGATGATGCCGGAAGTACGGGGAGCCTTGTTTGGTGCAAATGCCAATAGGAAGTTTTTGGACTAGCCTTTGGAGGTGCAGTTCATCTACTGCTGTACTTGTGAAGAAGCAGGACTGTCTGCAGCTTCCTTTTCTGTTCTGTTCTGTGGTAATCAATTGGCACTCTTTGTAGCTAATGCCCTGGCCTATTATTCACAGTAGAAGGGCCACCTGGTGTGGTGAGGAGCCAGCCCCAGCTTATCTGACACCCTGCAGCTCTGCACCAGTTCTGCAGCAGGAAGGTGAGGGAGGGGTCAGATGGGGCTGCCTGGCCTTCACTGAGTACCTGTTTTCCCTGCTCCGGGTGTCTAGAGTAATGTGCATGCCGTCCGTGCTCTTTGAGTGTAAGGTGCATGTGGAAGGGCTTGCATTCCTCCAGAAACTCTAGCTTTGCTGTTACTATGTGAGTCTAGACATTTCCTTATCTGTAAATGTGATTTAAAATCTAAGCCATGAATATTCTTTATTTATTAAAACAGGGTTTATGTGGATTTGGTTTTTAAGTTCTTTTGTAAAACACCTGAGTTTGTGTTCTGGGAGTAAAGGTCTGCTGAGTGCAGGGGCACATGTCTATAGCCCCAGGGACTCAAGCTGTGGTAGAAGGGCTGCTTAGCCCTGGAACTGAGGGCCAGCCCAGGCAATAGAAGAACAAAAGAAGGTTCTTACCAAGGAATCTAGAGAAATATTTTCAAGTCTCTGCAGTATTTGATAATTCTCAGCTTCAAGACCTCTGGGGTTTCCTTGTTTTACTAGACCTTCTTCCAGCCTGTTCTTTCCAGCCCTTATAACCTCATGCATACCACACACAGGAGCTCAGTGTACTTGTCTCAGAGGGTTGGACAGCTTTATGTGTGCACATATATATGTTAGGGATGGGTCCCAGAGCCTCACATGCTAAGCACAAGGCTGTACCACTGAGCCACACCCCCAGCTTATGGGCTGTGCATCTTGCTTTTTTTAAAGCGATTTTTAAAAATTATATACAGCAAGGAAGCAAATTTTTTAAATAGTTTTTTAAAATTTTACATTTTTATATGTATTAGTGTATTGCTTGCATGTATATAAGTGCACCTGTGTCATGCAATGCCCACAGAGGTCAGAAGGGAGTGTCAGATCCCCTGGAATTGGAGTTAGGTTGATTGTTAGCCAACCATGTGGGTGCTGGGAACTGAACACAGGTCCTTTGCAAGAGCAGCCATTGCTTTTAACCACTGAGCCATCTCTCCAACGCCAAGGAAGCAAAATTAAAAATTTTTAAGGGCTGAGAAGGCTCAGCGGTTAAGAACACTGACTGTTGTTGCAGAAGACCCGGGTTCAAATCCCAGCGCCCACATGACAGCTAACAACTGTCTGTAACTCCCGTTCCAGGGGATCATTGCATGACAGGGAAGCACTTACCTACATGCAGGCAATATATGCATATACATAAAATATTTTATAAAATATTAAAATTTAAAAAATATTTTATTTTTATTTTATGTGTATGTGTGTATTGCCTTGCATGTAGGCAAGTGCACCCATGTCGTGCAATGCCTGTGGAGGTCAGAAGAGGCTGTCGGATCCCCTGGAACTGGAGTTATGGGCAGTTGTTAGCTGCCATGTGGGTGGCTGGGATTCAAACCTGGGTCTTCTGTAAGAACAACTAGTGCTCTTAACTGCTGAGCCAACTCTCCAGCCCCCAGGAAGCAAATTTTTAAATACTAATTATGTGTTTGTGTCTGAGCATGTGAGTCTAGCTGCCAGCAGAGGCCAGAGGGTTGGATCCTCCTGGAGCTGGACTTATAAGTGGTTATGAGAACTTAGCTCGGGTCCTCTGGAAAAGCATCATGTGCTCATGACTGCTGACCTATTTTCCAGCTGTGCATCATCATTGAAGAAATTGTTTTGTTTGAACAAAGTGAAAAAAGACAAGTTTTTAGGGGGAGGGTGCTTTGTATTAGTATAAATCCTTACACACACACACACACACACACACACACACGAGTGTGCGCCCCCATCCCCGCCGTCTTTCCTTTGTTTTTATATGAGTTGAATGCCTATCTATCAGAGCTGGGGTTTTGACTGTTTGTCTTACAGCAAATGAAGCCACTCAAACCATTTGCCACCCCATTCTCACCCCACTGTTAAAGACCCAAGCTGTTTCTGTTTCATTTTGTTTGAGACAGTGTCTCACTGTGTAGACTTGCTTGGCCTGGCATTCACTATGTAGACCAGGTTGACCTTGAACTCACAGAGATCCATCTTCCTCTGCCTCCCAAGTGCTGAAATTAAAGACCTACCATACTCTAGACCCAAGTTTTAAGTTAAGTGGGGATTAATTAGATTCCAGCTCTCTCTTGTTTTTGTTGTTTTGTTGAGACAGGGTTTCATGCAGCCCCCAGGCTAGCTGGAACTTGCTGTGTGTCATACGATGACCTTGAATTTCCGATTCTTCTGCTTCTACCAGCCCTCTAAGTGCTGGGATTTATAGGCATGTGCCAATATGCCCACCCAGTTTATGTCATGTAGGGATGGAACCCGGGACTTTGTGCATGCTAGACAGGCATTCTACCAACTAAGCTACATCCCTAGCCCTGGTTCCAGCTCTTAGAACAGAATTGTTTTCATAGGGACTGACGACGTGTGTGGCATTATTTCATTTTTCTGTAGCAGCTTATGGGAACTGTCACAGCAGACTCAATTTCTCAGCGTGATGAGTTTATGAAGTAATGGTTAGAGAGAGGCAAGACTCAGTGTGGTATAAGTGTCCTTCTGGCCACTCTCCATCCTTGACAGCAACAGCTAGAGGATGGTAGTGACCTGCCCTGGGGCCCTGGAAGCTGGAGCTTGGTTCTGGAGCAGACACTGGTCCTTGCAACTCATCTGCTATGCTGATTACAAGACAAGGATTTAACCATTCAGCTTTATTTCAGATCATGTCTCACAAGCATTCATTAGAACGGGTCTGAGCTCCAGGGTGGGCAGCTAGGCCAGGACAGTGGCCCTGAGGCAGCCAGGCTGTTTGTTTGGGTTCATTTGACCATGGGTGATGCACACAAGGATGCCTCGAGCACTCAGTCCAGGTGTACTTCTGATCTTTCCCTCAGCATCAGTGTAGGACTAACTGAATCCTCATGCTGACTCAACTGTATCAGGTTTGACTGAAATGGAAATGTTAAAATGTAGAAACAGCCCTCATTGCTTACTGTGCACAGAGGTCTGCAGCAATACAATCCAAACCACTCCTATCGTAAGCATAGGTGGTTAGGGGCTTCTGACAGTCCTTGGTAAGCTGTACCTCAGAAGAAACGTAGGTTTCATAAGAGGAGAAATGAGCAAAATAGGGTCCTTTCTCCTGAGACTGAAGTAACACTACAGGCTAGAGGCTGCATAGGACAGGGTGGCATCTTACTCTTCAGCTCTACCACCTAGTCAAAAAGGACCAGGTGGCAGGTCAGAGACACGTTCCATTACTCAAAGTACTTTAAGATGCGCTCTCCGATACCAATGAAGTAGACACCCTGGGCAATCCCAAAGAGGGGCGCTATGACAAGAGCCCGGCAGCCCGCTCCCTTCATGAAGGCAGCTGGTCCCTCCTGAGTCCAGAGCTTCCTGTGGAGAAAGAGCCTGCTGAGCTGAGGGCCAGGAGCACCCTTACTCCACTTCTCCCCAAGCTTTGGTTTTTTGGAGATAGATCTCCATATGTAGCCCAAGTTGCCCTGGAACCCCTTCTGTAACTCAAGCTGGCTGTGGACTTTCCTCAGCCTCCTGAGTGCTGGGATTGCAAGTGTGCACCGTCATGCCTACCCACCGTAGTTCATGCCCTCCCCTCCTTTAAAAAAAAAATCTTTGAGACAGTGTCTCTCTATAGCCCCAGCTGGCCTGGAACTCAGTATGTAGTCCAGGCTAGCCTTGGTCTTTCAGAGATTCACCTGCCTCTGCCTCCTGAGTGCTGGGATTAAAGGCATACACCACCATGCCCCATCCCCCCCTAATAGACAGTGTCTCACTGTAATTCAGGCTGACCTCGAATTTATGATCCTCCTGTTTCCGCTTCCCAAGTACTAGGCCAAGGCAGGAGCCACAATGCCCAACTTCCCCAAGTATTTATACACTATCCTTTGAGAGAAGCAAGGACCCTAAGTGTGAGCTACCTAGCAAAGGCTTAACTGTCTGGACTTTGGGACGGAGGAGGTGGACAGAAGCATAGAGACTCATGGGAGAAGAAAAAAGTACTTGTTTTCTCTGAGAATCAAGGGGCAACCCCAAGTGTGGCAATGAGATGGGTCTTGAGCTGGGGTGGTGTTGGGGTGCTGGGCTCACCTGGCACAGTCGGTGACTCCACTGTAGGTGTCCTCACCCAGGCCTTTCTTGAGGGTTTGGATTCGAGTTTTCAGAACTGAATCAAGCAGAAGTTAAAACAGTAACGTGTCAGCCAGGTGTGGTGGCGCACGCCTGTAGTCCCAGCACTTGGGAGACAGAGGCAGGCAGATCTCTGAGTTCAAGGCCAATCTGGTCTACATAGTGAGTTCCAGGCCAGCTGGGGCTACAGAGAGACCCTGTTTCAAAAAGAAAAGGACAAAGTGGCAGGGTTTCCCCATAGAACCAAGACACACAAGGCCTGTTCAGCAGCTGTGTGATGAGCACACCTTCCTCAGGCCTCACTGGCCTCCCCTGTAGTTGGGGAATTAATCCTGCTCCGCAAGAGTGCTGGGTGCCCGCCAGAAAACAGGCGGGTATTTCCTCACAGTTCCCTGCTGCCTTTGGCTCAAATTTTAAAATGTCAGCTGTCACTCACAGCCAAGACTCACAACTCTCCTGGGGAGAAACAGTCAAGCAGCCCCTAGAAGGTGAGGGGCACTGTGGTGACAAGGAGCAGTCAGTCCTTTCTGAGGACCTTTGGTGTGTTTGTGCTAGTGGCTGAGCACCAAGAGGGTGTTCAGAATTGGGGCTGTTTCACCTGTGAGTTCAAAGCTCTGTCCCATGGACTGTGCATGTCTAATCTCTAAAGTAGGTTGGCTCTTAACACCCCAAACCCCAGTGGATCTCCACACCTACCGTCCAGAGGGGTAACAGCCACAGCAGCCACAGAGCCTGCAGTGCAGCCCGCCAGGAAGGAATGCATGAAAGTGGCCTTGCCAGTGCGCTGGCTCACCCCCAGCTGGTTCAGGTGGGCAAACAAGGGAAAGTACATGACGGAGAAGGGGATGTCTCTGTGGAAGAGGTCAGAAACATCTGCGGTGTCTCACTCAGCCAGCCTTCCCCAGGAGGCCTGGGAGTATGGCAGATGGGAGAAGCCCCCTATGGCAGTGCAGGGTGAGAGAAGGGGGTGTCCCACCCACCCCAGCACCTGTGTCCCGCTGAGAAGCCAACTGCAGATTTCAGATGGAAGCAATTTGGTAAGATGAGAAAGGCGGACAGGTGACAGGCCACAAGTTGCTCACCACCAAGCTACAGTTCCTACAAGCCCCCTGAGGACTTAAGGGCCTCTGGGCCACACAGCACTCAGTACCGTCGGCCTGCCTAGTCACTAGAGCTTTAGTGAAGTTGTTAGACCAGTTAAGGTGCCCATTCTATGCAACTCTGGCCATCATGACTCATTAGGAAACTTGGGAAGTTTGCCAACCCAGACTTGAATGTTCTAGGAAGATGGTGGAAGTCCCAGTGCCTCTGGTCCTCGGGGGGCCCAGGAAACAGTACTAGGGTAGCCTATGCTCAGGAGGAGGGGCTCACCTGAGGACAGTGGCACCCAGGCCCCTGTAGAGACCCGATAGGCCCTGAGTCTGGAGCAGCTCCCGGGCAATGACGATTGCTGATGGTCGTCCATGAGTTGAGCCCATGCTGTAGGACCTGGAGGTGGGAAGGGCTGCGGTGGAGCCCTGATGACAGACAGCTGCAAAGGAAAAGCAGCCTCTTCTGAGCCAAGGCCAAGGGTGTGGCTCCCAGTTCTCATGCTGGACACCTCCCATTGTGCCCTGTACCTCAGGTTTACAGCACTGATTTTGGCTTCTGGAAACTAAGGCCTATCTTAACCTAAGAAGTTAACCCTGGTCTGGGCTACTTCACCAGAACCACCCCTGTCTGCCCAGCTGTCTGCAGGAACTTCAGCAACTCCACCCCTCACCAGCCTCCCAGTAAAACCCTCTGACTGCCTTCAGTTTCTATTTCAGATAGTTTTATCCTGTTAGCATGTTGGAACACTCCTCCCTCTACTCCGAGATGAGGAACACATGCCCTTTATAACCTCCACTTCATAGAATGTGATTCTTTTACTGTTAAAACTATTTTAGTATTCAAAGCTTATTTGGTAAACTTTAATTGGGCTTGTGCACACCTGTAAGTTGATGCCAACTCTTCAGCCCCCTAAAAATGTTTTAAGAGCTGGGTAGGAGAGCCCAGCAAAGTGGCACATGCCTTTAATCCCAGCACTCGGGAGGCAGAGGCAGGTGGATCTCTGTGACTTCAAGTTTACATAGTGAGTTCCAGGTCAGCTGGGAATACAGGAAGACCCTGTCTCAAAAAGACAAAAAACAAGAGTGGGCTAGGGATAGCTGAGTGGTAGAGTATTTGCCTAGCATGAGTCATGCCCTGAGTTGAGTCTCTAGCATGATACACAGTGAAACCCAGTTTCAAACACAAAGTTTATGACTACTAGAAGTCCTTTTTCTATGTATACTAGAATTTCTTGCCCAGGTTGGAAAGATAACATGAGGCTCTCGCTCTTGGCAGATAGGGACGCTGTGGGGCTTTCTGGTGCCTAACCTTTATCCTTCCTGAGGCTGCTTAGGCTGTACTGATCCAGTCTAGAACTTGGCTGAACCAAGGCCTGGTGTGTTGGGTGTGTTGCACGTGAGTTTATTATTTAATGCAGACATTGTGGTTTAGCTCTGAGGAGAGGCCTCTGTCTTCGCAGATGGCCAGTTCTTGCTTTTACTGTGTCTGGAGTGGGTTTCAGGAAAAGTCTCAATTTCTCTTCCAGAGAAAACTAAAAGAAAAGGACTGCTTTTCCTATCCAGGTTTGTTTGTTGTAGCTCAGGATAGCTTCAAATTCATTAGGTCACCAAAGGTCCTGGGATGACAGCTATGTGCCATCATACTGAGCTTTTGGGGAGGAGGGTTGTATTCTATGGATGAAACACTAGGTAAGTACACTATCCCTGAGCTCCAGCTCCAGCTCCAGCCCCATTTGGGGAGGTGGGGATTGAGATAGGGTCTCCCTGTAGCCCCAACTGACTTGTATTCCAGGCTAGCCTTCGTCTTACAGACATCCACCTGCCTCTGCCTCTACCTTCTGAGTGCTAGGATTAAAGGTGTGCACTGTCATGCTCAGCCCCATTTTTTAAAAGCTTTAGAAATCCAGCCTGAACCTCAAGGGGCTGGGATGGAAGTGTTAGGTGCAATATGCCCTCTGGAATCCAAGCTCTTGTTTCTTTTCTGCTACTTGGTTTAGAGCTGAAAGTGTTGAAGGAAAAGGTCACCACGAAATCAGAGGTCCTGCAGATGGAGAAAGCTGAGCGAGCAGAGCCTGGCGGGTGGGGTGTGTGGTGACCCCCAGCCTTACTGGCACCATGACAAGTAGGAATATGCCTCACCCAAGCGGCCAGCATCCTGCAGCTGAATCTTCAGCATTTCCATGGGACAGGTAACCACCACCTGGCATATGCCAGCTCCACACCCGGCCAGCATCTCCATTTTCAGGTTCTGCTGTGTCCTGTGGGATCAGGAGTCCAGCCCTTCAGTCTTGAGCCAGCCTTCCCTACCCTGCCCACCTTCCCTCCCTTGGTGGTTGGAACTTTTTAAAAGGATGGAATCTGGCCCTTGTCACCACGGGCTGCCACACAACTGGATAAATAGTTTCTGGCCCTCAGACAGCCTCCTTAAAGACCTGAAGCTAATAATTTTTTTTACTTTGTTTTTTTCAACTTGATATGTAAACCAGACTGGCCTCCAATATGTTGCAAACCTCTGCTTCCTAAGTGCTGGAATTACAGAAAGTGCCACTATGCTTGGCTGAAGCGAAATTTCAAGCAGCGGCTCCAGTGGGGCAGACTGCACCTGAGTTGAATCAGGAACCATGAATCCACCATGCTGACATCCAGTTCCCTGGTCTATCCCCTAATTTTCCCGGAGAGAATGATAGGGCAAAGAAGAAAGGGTTTGGGGATTGATGTGAAAATTTCATCAGTTTAGCTGGGTGTGGTGGCACATGCCTTTAATCCCAGCACTTGGGAGGCAGAGGCAGGTGGATCTTTGTGAGTTCGAGGTCAACCTGGTCTTCATAGTTCCAGGCCAGCTCCAGTTCCAGCTGGAGCTACAGGGAGAACCTGTCTCAAAAGAAAAGGAAAAAAAAAAAAAAATCAGCTTATTTGGAGTGGTAGCTCAAACCTAAAATCTTTAGCACTCAGGAGGCAGAGGAAGAGGATCACTGCAAGTTCAAGACCTGTCTGGACTACATATTGGTTCCAGGCCAGCCAGAACTACACAGTGAGACCCTGTCTCAAGCGGGGAAGAGGGGCTGGAGAGATGGCTTAGCAGTTAAGAGCACTTGGTGTTCTTGCAGAAGGCCTGGGTTTGAATCCCAGCATCCACATGCTGGCTAACAATGGTCTGTAACTCCAGTTCCAGGGTATCCAATGCCCTCTTCTGTCCTCCGTGGGCAGTGCATGACACGGGTGCATTTACATACATGCAGGCAGAACACTCATACACAAAAGATAAGAAATTTTAAAAAATTAAAAACGAGGCTAGAGAGATGGCTCAGTGGTTAAGAACACTGACTGCTCTTGAGAGGACTTGGGTTTAGTTCCCAGCACCTACATGGTGGTTAATAACCGTCCATAACTCCAGTTCCAGGGGATCCAATGTCTTCTGGTCTCCGTGGGCATTGCACAACATCGGTGCATTTACATACATGCAGGTAAAACACTCATACACATAAAAGTAGCCAGGCATGGTGGCACACGCCTTTAGTCCCAGCACTAGGGAGGTAGAGGCAAGCAGATCTCTGAGAGTTCAAGGCCAGCCTGGTCTCCATAGTGAGTTCCAGGACAGCTGGGACTACAGGGGGGCTACAGGGAAACCCTGACTCAAAAAGACAAAAAATAAAAATTAAAAAAAACAAATCCATCAACTAGTTACTATATCTGTGTATATTCTCTATATTTTCTGTATCCTCGCAAATATAGTCTGTTGCTCTTCCACATTGTACCAGCTCATTCTTTCTCTTCACTTTTACCATCAGAACCTGATCTGCACACACATTTACATAGCTGCAGACAGGTAAAGTGAGGCATATTTGCAACCCTTGCACTAGACACAGTGAAGGGTCTGTTTCTGCCACCACTAACCCTTACCCGTCTTCCATGAGCAGCTGCCGGAAGAAGTCATTGGCTGCCAGCTTGATGGCCTTCTCTGGGGTGACCAAGGTGAGGTTTACAGCAGCCCCTGGAGGTGAAAAATGAAGAGGAGGAGCTTTGGCGGTCACAGAAGGGACAGCCCCCCCCCCCAGTACCCCAGCTGGCAAGGCTCTGGGGTAAAGGGGTCTCTGGGAAGCCAAGTGAGGCTCCTTTCCATGGCCCATTTCATTGAAAAACAATTTTTTTTTGCTTTCCTAACACAATCTCCTTTTTCATTTATTTATTATTAGTGTGTGTGTGTGTGTGTGTGTGTGTGTGTACACGTGATCAGAGAAAAACTCTGGAGCTGGTTTTCTCCTTGCACTTTTTTTGGTGTCTTTTTGAGACAGGGTCTCCCTGTAGTCCTAGCTGATCTGGAACTCACTATATAGACCAGGCTTGGCTGGCCTCGATCTCACAAAGATTCGCCTGCCTCTGCCTCCCAAGTGCTGGGACTAAAGGTGTGTACCACCATGCCTGGCAGTTCTACCTTTTTTTAAAAAAAATTAATTTTCTGTATGTGCACATATTGCCTGCATGTATGTAAGTGCACCCATGTCATACAATGTCCACAGAGGACAGAAGAGGGTGTCAGATGGAAATGGAGTTACAGATGGTTGTTAGCTGCCATGTGGATGCTGGAATTTGAACCCATCTTCTACAAGAATAGCCAGTGCTCGTAACTGCTGAGCCACCTCTCTAGCTCCTCTCCTTTCACCTTTACATGGGTTCTGGGGATTGAACTTAGGTTGTTAGCACCCCCAGCTTCAGGGTCTTATTTTACAGCCCAGGATGGTAGAGAACTCACAGTCTTCCTGAGTGCAGGCATGGAGTGTGTACCACCTTGTGCAGCACATTTTCCTCCGGCATGCTAAGCAAGCACTCTCCTGATTTCACCCCAGCCCCAGCCTCCTTTTTTTCAAGACAGGACCTCATTACGTAGCCCTAGCTGGCTTGGAACTGGGTAAGTCTTCTGCCTCCTGAGTACTAAGGTTTATGTGTCACCACACCCACGTTTTAAAAAAGATTTTATTTATGTGTATCGTGAATGTCCATGTGTGGGGGTGTGCACTTGAGTGCAGGTGCCCATGGAGGCCCGAAGAGGATGTTGGATTCCCTGGAACTGGAGTTACATGTGGTTGTGTACATCCAGGCAGGGGAGCTGAGAATCAAATTTGGGTCCTCTGGAAGAGCAATACTTGCTCTTAATCACTGGGCCACCTCTCCAGCCCTCATTTCTGCTTTTTTTTTTTTTTTCTTAAATCTTTAATTCACCTGTTTTATTATTTTTATGTGTGAGTGTGTTGCCTGTATGTATGTTAGCACACCCGTGCCATGCAATGCCATGGAGGTCAGAAGAAGGCTTCAGATCCCCCTGGGACTAGAGTTAAGGATGGTTTGCAGCCACCACGTGGGTGCTGGGAATCAAACCCGGGTCCTCTGCAAGAGCAGTCTGTGCTCTTAACCGCTGAGCCATCTCTCCAGCCCCATCTGCTTTTTTTTTTAATTATTTTTATTTTTTGTATTTGAGTGTATTGCCTGCATGTAAGTGCAACTGTGTTGTGCAATGCCTGTGGAGGTCAGAAAAGGGCGTTGGATTCCCTGGAAGTGGAGTTACTGGTTGTTAGCTGTCGTGTGGGTGCTGGGAACCGAACCCAGGTCCTCTGCAAGAGCAGCCTGTGCTCTTCACTGCTGAGCCACCTCCCTAGCCCCATTCTGCCCTTCTTGATGCTCTTATTTTTTGTGCGGATGCATGTGCCCAGTTACCAGGAAGTCATCTACTTTTTTCTGTTTTCTCTTGGTTTCTTTGAGAAAAGCTCTCATATAGTTCAGACTGACTGGTTATGAACTCCCTCTGTCACTGAAGATGAGCTTAAATCCTTGATCCAGCACTGGCTTCATGTACCTTTTCTCCAACTGACATTTCTCAGCAGCATACTGTACCTTCAAATTCTTCAGCTGCTAAAACTTCTAACTTCCATCCCACCAGAGTTCTCTTTCCTGACTCTTCTGGAGTACTCAACTGACCTGCTTCACCAACATCATTTCCTTAAGTGACAAATGCCCTTTGTATGATATACTCTCTCTCTTCCTGGGCAGAAGTCACTCAAGGGAATGGCTGTGTTTGTGGAATTTCCTTCTGAGTCACTGGGACGCCCAAAGCCAAGCCAGAAAAAGGAAGGCTGGAGTCCTCATTGGGGAATCTGTCACTGTGAGACTTCTTTGCATTTTAAAGAGAATCTCAGAAAAAAAAAAAAAAAAGGAGCTTCATTATGAATGTGGATGCTGCAAGAAGATAGCCTGAGTCAGATCAGGGAGGAGCTCACAGCTCTGGGACATTCACTGTCCCTTTCACCTATGACCTTTGACCTTTGGTGTGTAGCTCCAAGTCTGGACCCTGCCTCAGGAAGAGGTAGAGAAGAGGGACGCAGAGGCAGGCTGGGGCCCTTGCTTTCTCCACAGCTTAGCCACGTACTTTGCAGGAGGCCTTAGCTGGAAGCAGCTGCCTCTTGAAGGCTCATGAAAATTGAGATGGTCCAAAGCCACCTATAGTCCAAGTCCCAATGAAGCAGCCTCCTGGGTACAAGCAGCACCCATGTCTTTGTGTTACAAGCTCACAAGGTGTGGGTTGTCTGCATATCCCCACCTTCCTCACTAGCCTGGACTCCCCTGAAAGACACATAAGCCCACCTCGGTACATGCCCAAGAAGCCCTCTGCGCGTGCCGTCTTCACCAGGCAATCTGTCCTAGAAGTGGAGGCCAAAATGGAAGTCAGCAGTGATCAGATGCACCGTTCCCCTTCCTGGCATGCCTCAGTTGGCCTTGTCCCCCAGATCCCTGCCTGGATCCTCATACCCTCCCTGAAGAAGCAGAAGACAAAGGGCCCTCCCTCTTCTCCCTCTCCCCACCCCTTCCCTACCAGTACCTACATTCCTTTGTACACATCTTTCCCCGGCTGGTTCTGCAGTCGAGTCTTGGCAAGGTCGATGGGAAACACACAGGTTACCCCCGTGAGCCCTGCCACACCACCGTTGATGAGTTTTGCGGTGATGCTAGGCCATGGGGAGGAGAGAAGTGGTTAAGGGAGGGTAGCTGGCTATAACCAGGCCTGGGTAGGGGACAGGAGAGCAAGACCAGGCAGAAATCAGGAATGGCAGCTGCTGGGCCAGAGGTCACTCTCCTCAGCACCTCCCCTACTAGCTGTCTGTCCCTGTCCCCCTCCCACCACACAGGCGGGAGCTGAGCTAGGGACGTCTTTCAGGAAACCTGTGCTTACCCTGCCTGGACTGCTTGCACTAACTCACAGTGAAAGGTTCACTAAGCTAAGACACTGCAGGGGCTGCTGGGAAGGGGCCCATTCTGTTCCCTGGGATTCCGCCCCCCCCCCCCCAAAGATGACAAGCCTTAGCTTGGCCTTCAAACACTCCCTCTAGGGTTGCTATCCAGGTCAGTTCTCTTATCTCACCTCACCCTTTGCAGGCAGGTGTAGAAGGGTTCTCAAACAAGTTCCAACTGTATTTCCAGATGAGGGTCTGACTGTTAGAATGTAGTATGAATTTCAACTGCGCTGTTTACTTGAGCAAGTTACCTCACGTCTATTTTCTCTGGTGTAAAGCTCACTTAAGGGATTGTGAGGCTTGGTCAAGGACAGCTGTGGTTAAGGAGACCTGTCTCTGATAGCGAAGCCTCTCCTTAACAGGAGAAACCAGGGGTAAAATAAGCACTAGAAGGTAGCAAGGCCCCCTCTTTCTGATCAAGACTAGGAGTCTGGAAAAACCAAACATAGAACATAAAGCTATCATAAAGCATGGTGGTGCATGCCTTTGGTCCCAGTACTCAAGAGGCAGTGGTCAGCCTGGTCTACATAGTTCCAGGACATCTGGGGCTACAGGGAGACCCTGTCTCAAAAAGACCAAAAAAATAAAAAAAATAAAAAATAAAGCTTTCTCAGACTTCTTGCAAAGTAGTAAAATGTTTTTGGGGTTTTTTCTTTTTTTTTTTGGTCTTTTTGAGACAGGGTCTCCCCATAGGCCCAGCTGGCTTTGAACTTAGAGATCTGCCTGCCTCTGCCTCCCAAGTGCTGGGATTAAGGGCGTGTGCCACCATACCCAACTGTAAAATGTTTTTTTTCAGGCCATAGGAAGACATGAAAATATATGGAATCAGTAAAATAAGTTTTTTTACAAAAGAGCCCAAACTGGGATAATAGGCATGTACCATCATGCCCACTTTGCAAGTTATATTTTAACAATAAAGTTGTGTGTGTGTATGTATACTTGCCTACTTGGGGAAAAACATTTGAACTAATAGTTTCATTGGCTCTTCCCTATTATTCACTTTATTCTTCAGGGTCTGGAGCTGGCACTCATGTGCTATTGCCATAACAATTCCTCAAACCAGCCATCCCACCAGAGCCTACCTCAGATCCTGGCTGGACATCATGCAGGTGATCCACCCACTGGCAGCTCCCAGGACACGGGTTGTGGGATCCTCACAGGCAGCTGCTGTCTGTGCCAGCAGAGAGGGAAGTAGTAGTATGTCTCCTTGACTAACTCCTCACATAGGTGACAGGATATGTCATTTCAAATTGGCTCTTCCTAGACCTTTCGTAAATCTGAATCCAGATTGGAATCCTCCACTGTTTGGACTTTGATGATCAGATAAGAAAAGGGGATGAGAAGCCAGGCATGGTGGTGCACACCTCCAGCGGGCAGATATCTGTTAGTTCAAGGCCAGCCTGGTCTACATCTCAAGTTCCAGGCCAGCTGGGGCTACAGGGAGACCTTGTCTCTAAAAACAAAAAAGGGATGAAAGAGGATAAGGAACCTAAACTGTGTGAAGCCTGGGCTCCATTCCTAGTGCCGCATAGGGTGGGGTGGGGGAAGAGGTCCAAAGGGCTTCTGTGGGAGGTCTGGGGCATTTGAACAGAGGCCTGTGAATAGTGACGGTGACATGGGATGTGAAGAGGATTTTGCCAAATTGCTGGACCAGGAATCCCTCTCACAGTACGCAAGGACTACAGAACACGTGAGATGTTTTTTTTCTGTTGTTGTTGTTGTTTTTTTGAGACAGGGTCTCCCTGTAGCCTCAGCTGTCCTGGAACTCACTATGTAGACCAGGCTGGCCTTGAACTCACAGAAATCTGCCTGCCTCTGCCTCCCCAGTGCTGGGATTAAAGGTGTGTGCCACTACGCCCAGCTATACCTTTTTTTTTTTTTTAAAGTGCTGGGGGAGGTGGGGTCATAAGACAGGGTCTTGCTAGACCCCAGGCTAGCCTATACTCCCTATGTAGACCAGGATGACCTTGAACTTCTTCCTCCATCTCCCCAGGGTTAGGACTATAGGTGTTGGCCACCCTACCTGGCTTACTTTTTTGTTCTGTTTTCTAAAGTTTTATATTGAAACCAAGTTGCGTTGTGTCTCTGGATTTACTGATTAGCTAGTTTTTTGTCATTTTTTGAGACAGGATCTTGCTATGTAAGACCCTGCCCCAGAAAACAATAACAAGAGGGGTGGAGAGATGGCTCCGTGGTTAAGAGAATTGGCTGCTCTTGCATAAGACCCAGGTTTGGTCCCTATCACCCACTTGATGCCTGACTACCTTCTAGAAATCCAGTTCCAGGGGATCTGGCTCCCTCTTCTGGCCTTGGCAAGCATTGCATGCATGTAGTGCATTTACATACAGGCAGGCAAAACACTCATACACATAAAATAAAAAAATTTAATGATTACAGCTTTTAAGTAAAGGTTCCTGCCTTAAGCCCAAGGGGACAATGCCAGGATAGGCTCAGGTGTTCCAGTGGAGATGGCCTGAGCACTGAAGGGCCGCTCCTTTTTCCCCAGCCAATTAGCTGCTTTAGGGTCCCCCTCTGTGTCCCTTGCTTTTCCTTAGGCTACAAGCAGTTCTTCCAAGAAATCATCTTTAGGCATTTTATTGGGGGGGGGCAGGGGGGGGGAGGAGAGAGACTCTCTAGAAGATACAGTAAACCATTCAGTAAAGATAATTGAGTAGCCAGGCCTGGTTCCAGCTCTGGGGACACAGTAATAGTGAACAAATTACTAAGATGTGACAGGTAATACATAGTAAAGTCTGAAGATCCTAGGGAGTGAGAAATACTGTGAAGGAAACAGTGGCTCATGCTTATAATCTATGCACTTGGGAGGCTGAACTGTCCAAGGGCAGTTTGAGCTACATAGTGAAATCTTGTCTCAGAAGAGAGGGCAAGCTGGGCGTGGTGGCACACATCTTTAATCTCAGCACTTGGAGGCAGATGGATCTCTATGAGACTGAGGCCAGCCTGGTCTACACAGTGACTTCCAGGCCAGCTGGGGCTACAGGGAGACCCTGACTCAAAAAGATTTTTAAAAGGGAGCTGGAGAAATGGTTCAATGGTTAAGAGCACTGGATGCTTTTTCAGAGTCCCAACACCCATATGGTGGCTAACAACCATCCATAATTCTAGTTCTAAATCTGATGACCTCTTCTGACTTCCACAGGCATTGCACAACACAGGTGCACTTACATATAGGAAGTCAATACAGTAATACACATAAATAAAAAATAAAAAACAAGGGGGGATGATGACTAGTTCAGGAAAATGGCTGCCTGGCAAGCACAGACACCTGTGTTGGATCTCTAGAACCTAAAAAGTCTAGGATGGCAGCCTCCTCTTTAACCCTAGCACCGGGTGCAGAGACAGGTAGATCCTTGAAGCTCATAGGCTAGCAGCCTAACCAAATTGATGAGCTTCAGGTTCAGTGAGAAACTGGCTCAAAAAAAAAAACAAGGTGGAGGGCTGGAGAGATGGCTCAATGGTTAAGAGGTTAAGTGGTTGCTCTTGAGGGGACCTAGGTTCAGTTCTCAGCACCCACATACATGGTGTCTAACAACCATCTCTAATTCCAGTTCCAGGGGATCCAACTCCCACTACCTGCCTCTGAGGGCATTGAATACACAGGTACACTTATATACATGCAGGCAAAACACATTAAATTTTAAAAAACAAGTGCCAGGCGTGGTGGATCTCTGTGAGTTCAAGGCCAGCCTGGTCAACATAGTGAGTTCCAGGCCAGCTGGGGCTACAGGGAGACTGGGTCTCCAAACAAATAAGACCAAATAAATAAACCAATAAAGATGGAGTGTTCAAGGAAGACAACTGGCTTTGACTTCAGGCCTCCACACCCACACCACACCTATTAGAGAGACAGAGACAGAATTTTGGAAGAGAGGAAGGATAGGAATGTCAGTGAGATCTGGCCAGGGTTTCACGAAGCAGGGGTCCTCAGGCAACAAATAGGGAGCCATGCAGGTATGTGGGGGAGATCATGAGATAGAGCAAGCAGGCCTGGATGTGGTCCAGTGGCGAAGTGCTCACCTAGCATGTGCAGGTCCCAGATTCATCCCCAGCACTGTCAAAAAAGAAAAACAGCCAGGCGTGGTGGCACACGCCTTTAATCCCAGCACTCAGGAGGCAGAGGCAGGTGGATATCTGTGAGTTCAAGGCCAGCCTGGTCTACATAGTGAGTTCCAGGACAGCTGGGGCTACAGGGAGACCCTGTCTCAAAAAGACCCCCCCCCCAAAAAAAAAAGGCAGAACAAAACAGAACAAAAACCCGGAGCAAACTCAAGGCTGATGAGCTGAAGGGACAGCAATAAGTAAAGAGACAACTGGGAGTTCTGAGCAGGGGGTGACATGCTCCAGCCAGGCCCAGACGCCAGTCAAAAGACAGCAGCAAAGAGATAATCAATCAGTGAAAGTTACTGGAGTGACCCAGCAAAAGGAGAGGCAGTCCTCAGAGCACCTGGCAAAGTGCTGCTCGAGACACAGGACTTCTTGAAGGGCCAGGAAAAGCCGAGAGGGAAAAGGAGCAGGAAGGACAGAGGCTTTTGGTGGGAGAGGCTGAAGGATGAATTTACATAGAAACTGATCTGATGGCGGAACAGAGAAAGCAGGTCTGCAGGAAAGAGGAGCAACTGAATGGAGCCATCCTGGTGATGGGCTTTTGGAACTCCCTGTGTAGACCAGGCTGGCCTCAAACTCAGAGATCCGTCTGCATCTGCTTCCCAAGTGCTGGAATTAATCCTGGTGATGGGCTTTTGTTTGGGGCCTTCCATATGCTAGGAAGTGTTATACCTATAAGCTACACCATAAACCCAACTTAACATCTGAGACAGGTCCTTGCTAAGTTGCTCAGGCCGGCCTGGAACTCACTATGTACTCTAAACTGCCTTTCAATTTGTAATAATCCTCTTCCTTCAGCCTCCCAAGTAGCTGAGATTGCTGACATGCACCACTAGGCCCAATGGATGGTGTTAATCCTTGCTTCCAGATCATTACTAAATTCTGGCTACATTCTTGTTCTTGGAGTCTGAGGGGCTCAATTGTCCTGACACTAAATTGACCTCATCGCCTATCAGGCTAGAATTGCAGTTAAAAAAAAAATATTGTAGATGATGCCAAGCACGTGTGTGCCAGCACATGCGTGGAGGTCAGAAGACAGCCTTCAGGGTTTGGTTCTTTCTTTCCACCATGTGGGATCTGGGGCTTGAACTCAGGTCATCTGGTTTGCACCGAAAATGCATTTACCCCCTGAGCTATTCCACCAGCCCACAGAATTGTGGTTTTGGTTTTAGAGATGGTCTCACTTTGTAATCCAGGAACCCACTACATAGCCTGGAACTCCCTACATAGCCCAAGGTTGCCTCCAACTGTGGTAATCCTCCTGGCTCAGCCTCCTGAGTGCTGGGATTACCAAGGTCCTCTGCAAGTGCAGCCAGTGCTCTTGACCAGTGAACCATCTCTTTAACCCCAAACTTATTCATTTTTAACTTTGTATATACATCTGGCTATTTGTGTGAGTGTGGTTGCCTGTGGAGGCCAGAAGACAGTATTGGAGTCCCTGGAGTTACAGGTGGCTGTGAAATGTGTAGTGTAGGCGCTGGGAGCCAAGCTCAGGTTCTCTGGAAAAGCATCAAGCACTACTCACTGAGTCACCTCTCCAGCCCCACAGCCCACTTTAAAAATAAAAATAAATAAAACCTTTTTTTTTTTTTGGTCTTTTTGAGGCAGGGTCTCCCTGTAGTCCCAGCTGTCCTGGAACTTACTATGTAGACCAGGCTGGCCTTGAACTCACAGAGATCTGCCTGCCTCTGCCTCCTGAGTGCTGGGACTAAAGGCGTGTACCACCATGCCCAGCCAAGATTTTGTGTGTATAAGTGTAATATCTGGATGTGTGTAAGTGTACCCATGTCATGCAGTGCCCACAGAGGACAGAAAAGGGCATCAGATCCCCTGGAACTGGAGTTATGGATGGTTATTAGCTGTTGTGTGGGTGTTGGGATTCAAACCTGGGTCTTCTTCAACAACAGCCAGTGCTCTCAACCACTGAGCCATCTCCAGCCCATATTGAGACGGAATCTCACTATGTTACTCTGGCTGGCCTGGTACTTATTAAAGGCATATGCCACCATGATCTGCCTATTATTATTATTATTATTTTAGTTAATC